TATATATATACAGTATATATAAAACAATTAGCCTTGACCTTTGCAAGTTTCCTCTTTAGTTTGTTTTTACTATTTAAAATTTTCCTGCATATATTGCTCACTTTCTTGCTACCTTCCAAACTCATAATACTGCTCTTCCATGTGGAAGTAAAAGCGGCTTGTGTCGAGCAAAGTGATGAAGGCCAGAGTTTATTGGACTGATTAATAAATGAACCCCAATGCAAAAGCCTTGCTTTGCTTTGGTTAAGCAGCAGAGTGAAAGTAAGGGTTAAGAGAGGAGAAAAGGAGATCCATAAGGTGTCTCAATGTCGTGAGCATGGCAACAAGAGTCTAATGGCACGACCGTTCACAATATCACGTGAAAAGAAAAAGAAAATATAAAACTTGACCTTTTCTAACTTCAGAGCTGAATTGTTCAAAAGCAAGAAAACAAGTTAAACTTTAAATATTCTGCTTTCATTTTTCCCCTCGCAGAGTCAGGCAGTGGGCGATTTTTCTTTCTCTGAAAATCATTAGCCTTTAACATTTTTCAGAGAGAATGATATATAATTAAAATTCCCAGTGGAGAAAAAAAGAATCAGGTTTTAGGTCTGTCCCCTCAACTGCAGTCCACACACATCTCCCGCAGGTAGTGTGTGTGTGTGTGCAAGTGCGTGTAAAATCAGAATCAACTCGGCTTCCGCTGTCATCCGACAGCCCACGACAAAGCGAGCTGGCAGTGGAGTCCATTAAAAAAGGATTTATTCAAACAGAATAGGGCCAGAGGAGGGAATTTCCAGAGACATTTGTCACATTTCTTGCCATCCAATTTCCTGGAGGTTCCCCAGGGGTAGGGATGGAGCGTTGAGGCTTTATTTTAAGGGTCCTCCATGCTATCAGGAGGCATTTGCATTTCATGGGAGGGCTGGGACACTGGAGACCTGGGGTGAGATGGAGAGAGCTGACTACGAAAAGTGTGTCAGCACATCGCCGCACAGACATGAAGTTATAGGAGACAAACCTGTGTTTAGCAGCTGTTGCAGTCACATTAAATCTTAGTCTGGTTGCCCGAAGGAGTTGAGGAGTTTTTTCTCCCAAAAAAAGCTAGAGCCAAGATATTTTGTTTCGTAACTGACGAATAAATGTCCTACAGCTGAGCTTCTGGATAAACTTGTGAATTAGCATGCCGGCGTCCTTCTCAGAGAAGATGAAATTTTCTTTTAAGATACATACCCAAAATTTACATGACAAAATCATATGCGCAACTACATTATGCTACGTGCCGGATGTTCGTAGAATGATTCGCACTGCGTCACACAACAATCTCTAGCCATGGCCATCTTCCCACTCATGTTCAGATGTAAAAGGACTATTCAAGAAAATGAGAACGCAAAATGTATCTTCATTTCAGTGGGTGACATGCTATTCAGCATCTTTAATCTTAATATTTTTGATGCAGTCTTCGCACCTCTCCAATTTCTCTATCATTTCACAGCTGTCTGTGATCAGGAAGCGGAGGGCTGCCTCTTGTATTGATTCTCATAGCTTGATGGCTCTCTTCAGGTTTAAAAAGTGCCTGTGCAGATAGCGTCTTATAGCTTTCCACAATACTCGAACCCCTGGAGACGTGATGGAGGAGCGGAAGATTACACTTAGCCTTCCCCATCTCCCCATTCTGCTGGAAATTCAATCAGAGGCCGCTATGTCCACTGTGGACATATTATTTCACCGGCGCTGCACCTCTTTTCTTTCAATTTTTCCGGATCCGCAGATAAAAAATGAAATGAAGATGTTAACTGTTAGGGACAGCCACTATCCCCACAAGAAAGTAGAAGAAAGAGAAAGGGAAAACAAAAGATGTCGCTTGTTTCTTTTGGAGTGGGCCGCTGTGTTAACAAAAGGAGGGCAAATGCTGCTGTTTAACTTTGTGTGCCAGGATATTTCTGGTTGAAAATCATATACATGAGATGTGCACATTAAGGGGGAAAAAAGTTGTTCCTAAGAACAAGAGTCTCAAAGGGGAGAGGTGTCCTTTGGGGGTATAAGTACAAAATAGGCAGGTATATTTCAATTTAGGCTGCATTTACACAGACAGTGTTTGGCATTGGAAACCTGGTCAATGACAAATAAGAGTGTCTAAAAAAGAAAGTATATTAAAAATCTAGTTCATAGAAATGTACTCTTTGTATTCCTGCTGAAATTTTATGGTTTTGAAAAACTTTTATACCATTTTCAAATTTAAATGCATTGATTCTAAAAATGTCATGTGGTGTAACGTTTTTGCTGCACCCACAGTACTGTTCAAAATTGTGATATGTTTCTTTCTGGAATGGTTTGGAAATTGTTTTACTGGTTTAGAATTTCATAAAAGAAACATTACATTATAGTACCTATGTATATCGAAGGCATCGATTTATTAAAATTAGCACTGCAACACAGAACCACCAAATGAACACTAAATTACCAACCAGTAAATTAAAATCAATCTGTTCACATTAGAGAAACTGTAGAATAACTTTAAAGCAACCTTGCAGTAACAATGGTCAGGTTTTGTCCATTTGTATTTGTACTGTCAATGAGCTCAGTTCTGTTTCTTGTATGTTTTCCTATTTTACCATTAAAGAAACTGCACAGGGTTCCTGCACATTTTAAAGTCAAATTTAAAGATTTTAGGACCTTTTTAAGAACTTAAGAAATAAATTTGAATAAAGAGATAAA